CCCCGTACAAGCGACGTCTTTCCCGCGCTTCACAAACTGTCAACATCGCGGAGCTAATGAGACCAAAGCCTGCCGCCTTAAAAAGACCTTTCAAAAAGACCTTTAAAAGGAGAGGATGAAAAAAAATGAATAAAAAAAAGTAAAAAAATATAAATAAATAAAAAGAGGCCGACTATTCTCCTGTTGTGAAAGACGTTGGAAGTGTTTGAACCTCTTTCTGCTGAGCGAGAAGGAGGGTTTCGGAGACGGCCGCCATTTTTGTATTCCGGGTTAATTATTATTATATTATTATTATTATTATTATTATTATTATTATTTATTATATTATTCAATCATTATCATTATCATTATCGTTATTATTATTGTAATTGCTGTTGTTGTTTTGTTACTATTATTGTTGTTGTTTTTTTGTTATTATTATTATTATTATTGTTATTGTTGTTACTGATGTTTTTTGTTATTAAAATTATTGATGTTCTTGTTTTTGCTTCTTTTTTATTATTTATTATTATTATTATTATTATTATCATTATTATTATTATTATTATTATTATTATTATCATTATTATTATTATTATTATTATTATTATTATTATTATTATTATTATTATTATATTATTATATTATTATTATATATTAATTATTATTATTATTATTATCATTGCTATTATTATTATCATTTTTATCATTATTAACCTTATTATTATCATTATTACTATTACTATTATTATTCTCATTGTTGTTGTTATTGATTTTGTTCTTGATGTTGCTGTTATTATCATCATCATTAATTTTTGTTATTACTATCATCATTATTGTGCATTACAACGAAGGGAGATGGAGAAAGGGTGAGAGAGAAAGCAAGAAAGTGAAGAAAAACAATAGATGGCGCTGAGAAGAGATTGGTCGGAATGAGGGAGATGAGGAGAGAGAGATGAAGAGAGGGAGGAAGAGAGGGATGGAATGAGTGAATAGGAAGGCACGGTTGATGAAAGACGGGGAGATAGAGAGGGAGGAGTAGAGATGAGAGAGAGACGGAGAGATAGACCGTGAGAGTGAATACAGAGACAGACAGATAGGTACACATAAGGAAAGACAAAGAAAGAGAGAGGGAGAGAGAGAGAGAGAGAGGGAAGGAGGGAGAAAGAAAGAGAGAGAGGGGGGAAGAGAGAGAGAGAGAGAGAGGAGAGAGGGGAGAGAAGAAGAGAGAGAAAGGGGGGAAGAGAGAGAGAGAGAGAGATAGGGAAGGAGGGAGAGAAGAGAGAGAGAGGGGGAGAGAAACAGAAAGAGAAAGAGAGAGAGAGGGGGGAGAGAGAGAGAGAGAGGGAAGGAGGGAGAAAGAGAGAGAGAGGGAAGGAGGGAGAAAGAGATAGGGGGAGAGAGAGAGAGAGAGATAGGGAGGGAAGAGGGAGAGAGAGAGAGATAGGGAGGGAAGGAGGGAGAGAGAGAGAGAGAGAGAGAGAGAGAGAGAGAGAGAGAGAGAGAGAGAGAGAGAGAGAGAGAGAGAGAGAGAGAGAGAGAGAGAGAGAGAGAGAAGAGAGAGAGAGAGAGAGAGAGAGAGAGAGAGAGGAGAGCAGAGAGAAGAGAGAGAGAGAGAAAGAGAGAGAGACAAGAGAGAGAGAGAAAGAGAGCGAAGGATGGAGAGAGAGAGAGAGAGTGACTGAGTATGTGAATGTGTGTTATAAACGAAAGAGAGAGATGGAAACAGACAGAGACAAACATACAGACAGACTGAGAAAAAAAAGTTCGATAAAGTGGAAGTGGGATTATATATATATATATAATATATATATATATATTATAATATATATATATATATATATATATAATAATATATATACACGACACGCACACACACACACACACCACACACACACACACACACACACACACACACACACACAACACACACACACACACACACACACACACACACACAAACACACAAACACACAAAACAGCACACACACACACACACACACACATCACACACACACACACACACACACACACACTCACACACACACACTCACACACACACAACACACACACACACACACACACACACACACACACACACACACACACAACACACACACACACACACACACACACCACACAAACTTACAACAGCCAATACACACACACACACACACAGATATAGACACGAAGGGCGCGAGCCTGTCAGCGCTGACAACCCACTGACCAACCCCATCAGCGTCAGCGCAACCCGGCTCGACGCGACGGCTGACGAGGCATCAGCGCCGCTCGCTGACAGCATCCGGTCTGCGGCGACTCATCTGGCGGCGGAGGAGGGAAGAGGGGGAGAGGGGGAGAGGGGAGGGAGAGGGAGAGGGGAAGGAAGAGGGAGAGGGAGAGGGAGAGGGGGAGGGAGAGAGAGGGGGGGAGAGGGGGGAGGGAGGAAGAGGGAAGGGGGGGAGAGGGAGAGAGAGAGGGGGAGGAAAGAGGGAGAGGGGGAGGGGAGAGGGGGGAGAAGGGAGGGAGAGGAGAAAGGGAGGGGGGGAGAAGGAGAAAGGGAGAGGGAGAGGGGGAGGAGAGGATGAGAGGGGAGGGAGAGGGAGAGGGGGAGGAATAGGAAGAGGAGGAGAGGAGAGGAGAAAGTGCGAGAGCGAGAGCGGGAGAGAGAGAAAGAGAGAGCGAGAGAGAGAAAAGGAGAGAGGCCTATATCCCTTTGAGTGAAGGAAACCTCCGTTGATTTTTTATTTATTTATTTATATATTTATCTTTTTTATCCATCACACTCCAAGTCTTCCAGAAATGTCTCCGGGGCGCGACGGAGACCCTCCCTCCCTCTCCCTCCCTCTCTCTCCCTCCTCCCTCCCGTTTCCGCCACGCCTCGTCCTCCCCTCCGCCATTTCCCAAGGGCGGAGGAAACGAGGGGGCGAGATGGCCTCCTCCCTCACCCACTCCTCATACTCCATCACTTCGCCCTCATACTCCTCCTCGCCCTCGCCCACTCCCGATCCTCCATCACTTCGCCCTCACCCACTCCCGATACTCCATAACTTTTAATTCGCCTTGTTTCATTACTCCATCACTTCCTTACCCATCCCTTTCCAATCACGCCCTCCCTCTCATACCCTCCTCGCCCTCACNAAAAGAGAGAATGAATAAGGACAAAAAGAAAAGGAAGAGAAACAGAAAGAGAAAAATGAAGAGAGAAGAGGGAGAAAAGAGGCAGAAGAGAAGAAGAGAAGGAGAGAAGAAAGAGAATAGAAGAGAAAGAAAGAGAAAAGGTGTAGAAGCGAAGAGAAGGGAAGGGAGAGAGAAGAAAAAAACGAAGACGCGAAGAAGAGAAGAAGAAAAGAAGAGGAGCGAAGAGGGAAAAAGAAGATTAGAGAGAAGGACAACAAGACACTGAAGAGAAGAAAGAGAAGTTAACACGAGCGCAAAAGAGGAAAATAGAAAACGAAAGAGAAGAGAAAAAGAAAAAGAAACGAAGAGAAGGAAAAATGAAGAGAAAGAGAAAAAGGAAAGAGAATAGAAGAAAAAAGAAAAACGGAAGAGGAAAGAGAAGAAGAAAGAGAAAACAAAAGAAAACGAGAAATAGAAGAGATGAGAAAGAGAAATGGAAGAGAAATTAACGAAGAGAAGAGAGAGAAGAAAGAAAGCGAAGAGAAGAAAAAAAAGGAAAGAGAATAGAAGAGAAAAGAGAACAGAAAAGAAAAACGAAGAGAAGAGAAAAAAGAAAAGAAAAAACGAAAGAGAAGAGAAAAAGAAAAGAAAAACGAAAGAGGAGAGAGAGAAGAAAGAAACGAAGAAGAAAGAGAAAGAGAACTAAAAGAAAAAACGAAAGAAAAGAGAGAGTAAGTAAAGAAAAAACGAAGAAAAGAGAAAGAGAAGAAGAAAAAGAAAGACGAAAAGAGAAGAGAAAAAGAAAGACGAAGAGAAGAGAAAAGAATAAACGCAGAAAAGAAAAGAAAAGAAAAACGCAGAAAAGAGAAGAAAAGAGAAAACAAAGAAAAGATAATACAAGAGAAAAGAGAAGAGAAGAGAAATAAAAAGAAGAATAATAAGAAACCGCAAGAGAAGAGAAGAGAATATAAGAGCAAAATGAGAAAAGAGAAGAAAAACGAAAGAGAAGAGAGAGAAAGAGAGCAGCAGGAGCGCCACCCGCCACCCGCCCCGATATCCGTGGGCGCCACCGCCAGCCTCGTCGAATCCGTGGGCGCGCCAACCGCCACCCTCGTCCAACCGTGGGCGCCACCGCCAGCCCCTCGTCCGAATCCGTGGGCGCCACCGCCAGCCCCTCGTCCGAATCCGTGGCGCCAAACCGCCAGCCCCCTCGTCGAATCCGTGGGCGGCCAAACCGGCCAGCCCCTCGTCCGAATTCCGTGGGCCGCCAACCGCCAAGCCACTTCTGCCCTGTACTATCCCGTGCGGGTCGTTCTCCATCCTTTCTTTAACTCTTCTCTTCGTTTTTGCCACTACCCTTCCGCCTCTGTAATCGTCGCGCTGCCTATCTTCCTACTTCTCTTGTGCGTCCTACGTTCTCTCTCTCGATATCTTCGAATTTCTCCCGTTCGCTTCACCGTCCACATACTGAGCCTCATTCTCACGTAGTCTCTTCGCTTTGACGAGCGCGCTCTTCGCTGTGTTCCTTTCGCTCACCTGCATATTTCCGCGTTGCACCCACACGCAAGCTCTCCTCGTTTTCTTCCCGAATACCGGGGCGCCACCCCTTTCTCTCTGACCTTGCCCATGCTCTCCCTTCTTTCGTTCGAATTCTGTTCGGGCGCCCACCGGCCACCCTTCTTTTGCGAGCTCTCGTCCTGACTATCTCCACTGTGGTTTGCGCCCAGTATAGAGCCCTTCTCTCCTCCCCCTTTGCAACTTATTTTCTATCTCTGTCCAAGAGAAGGATACGAGATAACGCACTTTACACTTTTTCCCCTTTTTTCTCTTCCTCTCTTCTCCCTTCCAAGAGCTTTTTCTTTGAAAAAAAAGCAGGGATTTAAACTTTAGGTAAATTCTTTTTGATGAGTTGTTTGATCTCGTCGCTTCTGTGTAGAGTTAAGTAGAGTCTGTATCTCTCTCTCCTTTCTGTCCCTCTTTCTACGCCTCTCCCCTCTCATTCTCTCTCACCTCCTCCCCCCTTTTTCATCCCCACTTCTCCCCCCCACTCTCTCTCTCTCGCTCCACATCTCTCTCGTCTCCCTCTCTCCGCCTCCCTCTCACTCACCTTCCCTCTGGCCCTCTCATTCTTCCTCTCACTCCGCCCTCTCACTCCGCCCTCGTCAAACTCTCCCTCCCCCCCCAGGGTCGTCGGGGCTATCGGAGGTGTCCTGGGCCCCCCGGCTCTCAAACGACCCGACCCCCCCCCCCCTCTCTCTCTCCTTTCTCTCTCTCCTTTCTTTCCGCTCTCCCTCCCTCCCTCTCATTCTCTCTCCGCCCCTCCCCCTCCGCCCTCCACCTCCCCCTCTCTTTCTCCACTCCACCCACCCTCTCCCTCCCCCCCTCTGCGCCCATCTCACTCCCCCCCTCCACCCCCTCATCATGTCTCTCTCCCTCCCCCAGGGTCGTCGGGCTATCGGAGGTGGTCCCTGGGCCCGGCTCTCAACGCACCTCTCCCTCTCCCTCTCCCTCACGTCAATTCTCTCCCTCCCCCCTCCTACTCCCCCTCTCATTCCCTCCTCCCCCAGGGTCGTCGGGGCTATCGGAGGTGTCCTCTGGCCGCTCTTCACGCCCCCTCCGCCTCCCCCTCTCCCCTCACCACTCCCCCATCTTCCCCTTCTCACTCCCCCCTCTCACTCCCCCTACTCATTCTCTCCCCCCCCCAGGGTCGTCGGGGCTATCGGAGGTGTCCCTGGGCCCGGCTCCTCAAACGCCCCCTCTCCCTCTCCCCTGCCCCCTCTCTTTCTTCTCTCTCATTCTCTGCTTCCCTCACCCGCCTCCTCTTTCTCCCCCCCTCCTCTTTCTCTCTCTCATTCTCTGCTTCCCTCGCCCTCTCTCTTTCTCTCCCCTCTAAATTCTCAACCCTACTCATTCTCTCCCCCGCCACCCCAGGGCTCGTCGGGGCTATCGGAGTGATTCGCGCTCGGGCCCGGCCGTCAACGCCGCCCTCCCCCTCTCTGTCCCCTCCCCCCTCTCCCTCCCCTCCCCCTCTCCCTCTCTTTCTCTCTCTCATCTCTGCTTCCCTCCCCCTCTTCAATTCCTCTACCTCCTCTCACTTCCCCCATCTCATTCTCTTCGCCCCCAGGGTGCGTCGGGGCCTATCGGAGGTGTCCCTGGCCCGGCTCTCATCCCTCTCACATCCCCCTGCCTCTCACCCCCGCCCTCTCATTCTCTCTCCATCCCCCCAGGGTCCGTCCGGGCTATCGGGAGGTGTCCCTGGGGACCCGGCATCTCAATCGCCCCCATCTCCCTCTCCCCGCGACCCTCTCCGCTCATCCCATCTCATTCTCTCCTCACCCTCGTCACATTCCCTTCTCATTCTCCTCCTCCCACAGGGTCGTCGGGGCTTCCGAGGAGGTGTCGCCTGGGCCTCCGGCTCTGCAACGCCCTCCCCCTCGCCCCCTCTCCCCTCCCCCCTCCCCCACTTCCCCTTCTCACTCCCCCTTGCTCAACTCCCCACTCTCATATCTTCCCCCAAGGGTCGTCGGGCGCTATCGAGGTGTCCCTGGCCGGCCTTTTTTTTTCTCAAACGCCCCTCCCCCTCCCCCGTCCACACTTCTCCATTTCTCTCGTCCATATCTCTGCTTCCCTCCCGCGCTCTCTTTCTCCTCGCTCCTCTTTCTCTCATCTCACTTGCTTCCGCCCGCCTTCTCTCTTTCCTCCCTCTAATTCCTCCCTCTCATATCTCTGCTCCCCCCGACCCCCCAGGGTCCGTCGGGGGCTATCGGAGTGTCCCTTGGGCCCGGCTCTTCAACGCCCCCTCCATCTCCCCCTCCTCTTTCCCCCTCCCCCTCTCCCTCCCCCTCCGCGCCTCTCCCTCATCTTTCTCTCTCTCATTCTCTGCTTCCCTCCCCTCTCAATTCTCTACCTCCTCTCACTCCCGCCCTCTCATTCTCTTCCCCCAGGGTCGGTCGGGGCTATCGGAGGTGTCCCCTGGCCCCGGCTCTCTCCGCCCGTCTCACTCCCCTCCTCTCACCCCCCTCTCATTCTCCTCTCCCTCCCCCAGGGTCGTTCGGGGCTATCGGAGGTTGCGCTGGGCCCGGCTCTCACGCTCCCTCTCCCTCCCTCCCCTCCCCCTCCAGCCTCGCCCGCGTCCCTCCCCCTCTCCCCTCTCCCTCCCTCTCTCACCTCCCCTCTCCATTCTCCCACCCCCCCAGGTCGTCCGGGTCTATCGAAGGTGTCCCTGGGCCCGGCTCTCAACGCCTCCTCCCGCCTCTCCCTTCCCCTCTCTTTTCTCTCTCTCATTCTCTGCTTCCCTCCCGCCCTGCTCCTTTCTCCCCCGTCTCACTCCCCCCTCTCAACTCCCTCCCTCTCACTCCCTTTCTCTCAATCTCATTCTCTGCTTCCCTCCCCCCTCCCTCCCCTCTAATTCTCACTCTCATTCTACTCTCCCTCCCCCCAGGTCGTCGGGCCTATCCGGAGGTGTCCCTGGGCCCGGCTCTCAACGCCCCCTCCCCCTCTCCCCGCCCCCTCTCTTCTCCTCTCTATTCTCCCTGCTTCCCTCCCCCCCTCTCATTCTCCCTTCCCTCCCCCGTCTCACTCCCACCCTTCCATTCTCCCCCTCCCCCAGGGTCCCGTCGGGGCTATCGGAAGGTGTCCTGGGCCCGCTTCAACGCCCCCTCCCCCTTCTCACTCTCGCCTTCTCTCTCTCCCTTTCTTTCCCTCTCCCTACCCTCCCTCTCCAATTCCTCTTCTCCCCCCTCCCTCCCCCTCCCTCGCCCCCACTTCCCTGTCCCCCACGTCTCCCCCCTGACCCTGCTTCCCCTCATCGAGACTCTCCCTTTTTTCTCTCTCTCGCTTTCTTTCGCCTCTCCCTCCCTCCCTCTCCATTCTCTCTCCCCTCCCCCTTTTCAATGCCGCTCACTTTCTTCGCTCTCTCATTCTCTTCTCTCTCTCTTTTCATCCTCAACTTTCTTTCCTCGCCCCTCTCTTTCTCACTCCCGCCCTCGCTCCTTCTCCTCCCCCTCCCGCCTCTCACTCCCTCCCCCTCTCACTCCCCTACTCTCACTCTCCCCCACCAGGGTCGTCGGGGCTATCGGAGGTGTCCCTGGGCCCGGCTCTCAAGCGCCTCCCGACCCCCCCCTCGTCTCTCGTTCCCTTTCTCCTCTCTCCTTTCTTTCCTCTCCTCCCTCCCTCTCATTTCTCTCTCGCCCCTCTCCCTCCCCCCTCTCATTCTCGACCGCTCCCATTCCCCCTCCCCCTCCCCCCTCTAATTCTCCCTCCTCATTCTCTCCCCCCACTCCCCCAGGTCGTGGGCTATCCGGAAGGTGTCCTGGCGCCGGCTCTCAACGCCTCTTCCACCGGGCCCCCCCCTCCTGCTCCTCTCACCTTTCTCTCTCTCCTTTCTTTCCCTCTCCCTCCCTCCCTCTCATTCTTCTCTGCTCTCCTCCCACCTTATTCATCCCTCAGCTTTCCTTTCCCTCTCATTCTCCCCTCTCCCCTCCCTCTCCCCTCTCTTTCTCAACTCCCCCCTCTCCCTCCTCCTTCCTCTCATTCACCCCCTCCACCCCAGGTCTCGGGGTATCGGAGGTGGTCCCTGGGCCCGGCGACTCAACGCCCCCGTCTCCCCCCCTCTCCCTCTCCCTCTGCCCTCCCCCTCTCCATTCCTCTTCCCCCTCTCTCATTCTCCCCTCCCCTCGCCCTCACCCTCCCCCTCTCACTCCCCCTCTCATTCTCTCCCCCGCCCTCCCCAGGGTCGGTCGCGGGCTATCGGAGGTGTCCCTGGGCCCGGCTCTTCAACGCCCTCCTCCCCCCCTCTCCTCTCGCCTTTTCTCCTCTCTCCATTTTTTCGCCTCTCCTCCCTCCCTCTCATTCTCTCTCCCCCTCCCCTCCCCCCCTCCCCCTCTCACTCCTCCTCTCACTACCCTCTCATTCTCCTCCCCCCCCCCAGGGTCCCGTCGGGGCTTATCGGAAGGTGTCCTGGGGCCGGCTCTCAACGCGCCCTCCCGCCTCTCCCCTCTCTCTGCTTTCTCTCTCTCCATCCGTTCTCTGCTTTCCCTCCCCTCTCCCAGTCCGCCCTGTCTCACTCCCCCTGCTCATTCCTCGTCCCCCCCCAGGGTCGTCGGGGCTATCGGAGGTGTTCCCTGGCCGGCTCTCAACGCCCCCTCTCCCCTCTCCCCTCGCCCCTCTTCTTTCTCTCTCTCATTCTCGTGCTTGCGCTCCACGCCTCTCTTTTCTCCCCTCTCTTTCTCTCGTCTCATTCTCTCGCTTCCCTCCTCCCTTCTTTCTCCACTCCCCCGTCTCATTCTCCACCTCTCCATCTCCCCCACCAGGGTCGTGCGGGGCTATCGGAGGTGTCCACTGGGCCCGGCCTCTCAACGCACTCCGACCCCCCCCACCTCTCTCCTCTCCCTTTCTCTCAATCTCCTTCTTCCCTCTTCTCTCCCTCCCTCTCATTCTCCTCTCCCCTCCCTTTTCATCCCGCAACTTTTCCTTTCCTCTCATTCTCTTCCTCCTCTCCCTTTTCCATCCCCACTTCCTTTCCCTCTTTCCCCTCCCCCTCCCTCCTCTCACTCCCCTCTCACATCTTCCCCACCAGGGTCGTCGGGGCTATCGGAGGTGTCCCCTGGCCCGGCGCTCAACGCGCCCTCCCCCCTCTCCCTCTCCCCCTCCCCTCCCCCTTCTCTCTCCCCCCTCCCCCTCTCTTTATCTCTCTCATTCTCTGCTTCCTCCCCCAGTCTCACTCCCCTCTCATTCCTCTCCCTCCCCCCAGGGTCCGTCGGGTCTATCGAGGTGTCCCTGGGCACGCTCTCACGCCCCTCCCCCTCCTCCGCCTCCCTCCTCTCTCCCCTCTCCCGCTCTCCTCTCCTCCCCTCTCCCTCTCCTCTCTTTCTCTGCTTCCCTCCCCGCTCTCCCTCCTCCCTCTCCCCTTCACTCCCCCCTCTCACTTCCCCCTCTCATCTCTCTCCCCCCCCCCAGGGTCGTCGGGGCTATCGGAGTGTCCCTGGGCCCGGCTCTCAACGCCCCCCTCCCCCTCTCCCCCTCCCCTCTATCCCCTCTCCCTCCCCCCCCTCTCCCCTCCTCCCTCTCTTTCTCTGCTTCCCTCCCCCTCTCCCTCCCTCCCTCTCCCCTCTCACTCCCCCCTCTCACTCCCCCTCGTTCATTCTCTCATCCCTCTCCCCCAGGGGTCGTCGGGGCTATCGAGGTGTCCCTGGGCCCGGCTCTCAACGCCCCCTCTCCTCTCCCCTCCCCCTCTCTTTCTCTCTCTTCATTCTCCTGCTTCCCTCCGCCTCTCTTTCTCCCCCGTCTCACTCCCCCCCTCTCACTCCCTCTCTTCACTCCCTTTCTCTCTCTCATTCTCTGCTTCCTCCCCCCTCTAATTCTCCCTCTCATTCTCTCTCCCTCCCCCCAGGGTCGTCGGGGCTATCGGAGGTGTCCTGGGCCGGCTCTCAACGCCCCTCTCACCTCTCCCCCCCCCTCTCACTCCTCCCTCTCACTCCCCCTCCCCCTCTCTTTCTCTCTCTCATTCTCTGCTTCCCTCCCCCCTCTCTTTCTCACTCCCCCTCTCCCTCCCTCCTCTCACTCCCCAGTTTCCCAGTTTCTCACTCCTCTCACTCCTCTCACTCTCATTCTCCCCTCCCCCAGGGTCGTCGGGGCTATCGGAGGTGTCCCTGGGCCCGGCTCTCAACGCCTCCGACCCCCCCAAGTGGCTGGAGCTCGTTGTCGCCGTCGACCACACCGTCATCGACTTCCACGGCGAGGATGAGGTCGAGAAGTATGTCTTCACGCTCTTCAATATCGTGAGTGTTGGTTTTGTTTTTGTTGTTTAGTTGTTTTATCATTGTTAGTGTTATTGTTATTTATTTTTTTTTTTCGTGGTTTTTTTCTTCTAATCTTCTCTCTATTTTCTTTCATTCTCTTTCTCCTCCCCTCTCCGCTTTTATTATTGTTATTGTTGTTTTTTTTTTTTATTTCATGTTTTTTTTCTTCTCATCTTCTCTCTCTCCTTTGATTCTCTTTCTCCTTCCCCCTCCCGCTCATTCTCTCTCTCTATCTTTCTATCTCTCTCTGCCTTTTTATTATTATTTACTTTTGATTTCATGTTTTTTTCTTCTCATCCTCTCTCTCTCTCCTTTCATTCTCTTTCTCCCGGTCATTCTCTCTCTCTCTATCTCTTTCTCCCTTTTCATCCTCACTTTCACTCTCTCTCTTTCTGCCCCTCCCCTCTCATTCTCTTTTTTTTTCTCATCCTCTCTCTCTCTCCTTTCATTCTCTTTCTCCCCTCCCCGCCTATTCTCTCTCTCTCTCTATCTATTCATCCTCACATTCTTCCCCCCTCTCACTCTCTCTCTTTCTGCCCCTCCCCTCTTATTCTCTCTCCATATCTCCTATTTATATTTATTTATTTATTTATTTACGGTCGTGTTATTCGTGAGTTTACGATTTTATTTTTTTATGCTTCGGTTTAGTATTTTTTTTTATCTATTTGCCTTTTCTTTTTATTTATCTATCTGTATGTTTTTTTTCTATCGATGTATATGTTCTTATTAGAAGTTCTGTTTACATGTTTATTTATCTATCTATTTATCTATCTACACATATATATTCATATCGGAAGTTCTTTATATTTGTTTATCTATCTATCTGTATTTATCTATCTACATATATGTATTTATATCAGAAATTATTTTTATTTGTTTATCTATCTATCTGTATTTATCTATCTACATATATGTATTTATATCGGAAGTTCTTTATATTTGTTTATCTATCTATCTGTATTTATCTATCTACATATATGTATTCGTATCAGAAATTATTTTTATTTGTTTATCCATCTATCTACATTTATCTATCTACATATATCTATTCATATCAGAAGTTCTTTTTATCTATCTATCTATCTATCTAGGTATCTATATATCCACATGTATCCATATTAGAGGTTCCTTTTTACGTGTTTATCTATCTATCTATCTATCTATCTATCTATCTATATGTATATATGGTTTCCCGATGTTCGAATTCTTATCGGCATGATCGGATCTCTGTACCATCTCGAACACCTGTGTCCGATTCCTTGGATGCGAATATTATGCTGATATTTTGAATGATGGAGAGAGGGGGGAGGGAGGAGGGGAGGAAGAGGGGGAGGGGAAGAGAGGGGGAGAGAGGGAGGGAGAGGGGGGAGAGGTGGAGGGGAGGTGGGGAGAAGGGGAAGAGAGGGGGGAGGGAGGTGGGGAGAGAGAGGGGGGGAGGAGGAGGGGAAGAGAGAGAGAGGGGAGGAGGAGGGGTGGAGAGAGGGAGAGGGAGAAGGAAAGAGAGAGGGAGAGGGAGAAGGGGAGTGGGAGGGGGAGGAATGAGAGGTGAGAGAGAAAGAGAGAGAGAGAGAGAGCGGAGAGCGATAGAGAAAAGAGAAGAGGGGAGATGAGGAGGGGAAATAGGAGAGAGCGAGAGAGAGAGAGAGGAGAGAGAGAAAGAGAGAGAGAGAGAGAGAGAGAGAGAGAGAGAGAGAGAGAAGAGAGAGAGAGAGAGAGAGAGAGAGAGAGAGAGAGAGCAGAGAGAGAGAGAGAAGATACGATTTTACGTCCATCAAACTTTTTTTTTCCTAAGTCCGTTTTATTCTTCTACCTTTTTCTCTCAATTTCTCTCCTTTCTTTTCTTTCTTCGTATTCCTCTCTCTGTGTTTTTCTTTCTCCTATTTCTTCTCCTTCGTCTCTTCTTCCCATTTCTCTTTTCTTCTTCCTCTCTTCTCCTTTTCTTCTTGTCCTTCCTTTTCCTTTCTTCTCCTCCTTCTTTTCCTCTCCTCTTCTTCCTCTCTTCTCCTTCTTTTATTCTTCCCCTTCTTTTTATTCTTCCTCCCCTCTTCTTCTTCTCCTCCTCCTCCACTCTTCTCCTTCTTCCTCTCTCTCCCTAAATGGAGAGCGGCGAGGACGACTCCCGGCGGGTTCGTGCCGGGACGGAGGCCGTCGTCGCGTCTTACTTCCGAGGGAGGAACCCTGCGTCACCAATCGTGGCAGGGGTGGTGGTGGAGGAGAGGAGGTGGGGAGTGGGTAGGAGGGGAGGGGGGGTAGGAGGTGGGAGGGGGAGGGTGGGGGAAGGGGGTTGGGGGGTTGGGAGGGAGGTGGGGCGAGAAGGGTGTGGGAGGAGGGGGGGTGGTGGGAGTGGGAGGTGGGGGGAAGAGGGAGGTGGGGGGAGTGGGGGGGGGGGGGGGAGGTTGGTGGGGGGAAGGGGGTGGGAGGAGAGGAGGTGGAGGAGATGGAGGAGGAGAGGTGGGAGGTGGGGGAAGAGGGAAGAGAGGG